GGAGGATGAAGTGACGACGTTGAAGGACAGGAGGTGTAGAGGAGCTTGTTGTTGAGGTCGACTTGAGATTTGAAGGATAGGTGGGCAACGACATCAGAGAAGGTTTGGAGGTGGCGGTGGGAATGGATTATCTGTGCTGGGTGGATGGCGTGCTGGAATGGAAGGGAAGGGAAGTGTGGAAGATGGGAAAATAAAAATATTTTAATAATAATATTATTTTTTTATAAAGTCAGAAATTAAAAATAAATTTATTTTTTATTATTTTATAATAAAAATAATAATATTTTAATAAATTAACTAGGCTATTTTTTTTTTTAAGGGATGGAGATGCTTTGACCTATTACTGTTCACTGGAGTATATTACTGTTCACCTAAGTGGATAAATGCGCTGTATTCTGGTGCAAAGTCTTTAGGGGTGGAACTGCTCTTAAGATTCCAAAAGCTGGAGCCCTTTTTACGCCTTGGAAAGCGGATCCATTATATCTTTTGGGGTTTTCTTTTCCTCTTCTTTCTTGGAAAGAGGAAAGCCATTAATGTTATGAATTTTTTTCCTTTTCCTCTTCTTCTCCTTCTCTGATTACTCTGTTTTTCCATTTCATCTTCTTCTGTTGCTCCGTAAATTTCCACAGCAGTTCCTCTCGCTTCTTCTCCGAGCTCCTTCCTGCTTCCAAGGCGCTCGCTCTCTCTCTCTTCTAGCTATCAAACAGCCCAGCGTTCGTACAGACCTTGCCAATTAAAGAAATGATTTTGAGTTAATTGCAGCGGAGCACCACCACTTAGCGCCCAGGCGGCTGTCTCAACCGTTTTTTAGAACACTGGTAAAACATAAGGCTAATCATAAGGTTTATAGACCTTATTTTAGATAGAGAATTGTTATTAGCACTCCAAATTTTTGATTCTACACTCTAAACTTTCTATATTTAAAAAAGAAAAATACACTTGTAAGGAGTGTAGAATGAAATTTTTGAAGTACCAATAACACTTCCTTTATATAAATAGAACAAAAAAAGAATTAAATTTTATATGTTAAAACAAAAGACTAATTATAAAGTTTATTTTATTTTATTTTATTTTTTTTAAAAGGGTTCTTGACGTCAAAGAAATTCCAACCCATGGCCAATGGAATTGTCAAAATCCACTTGCCGGTGCACTACGTTACTGTAAAACTAGCAAACAATACATATACATTAGCAAAATTTTAGGATTAGCTTGGGCCTAACCTGGTTTCCATGTGGCTCCGCCACTGGGTAATAGCACTTCATAGAATACTTCCGGAATTGGGTTCTTGGACAGCAGATAATTGTAGATGGCATCTTCCCCTTCTGAATGTTATGATTTACATTATGTATACAGGGTTGATTTCAAAAGAGAAGGTTGTTCAAATTTGTGTTGTTGCGTTAGAAAGCCCGTATGCAACCGCAAGACATCTACCTTTAGACTATCTCCAACCCTGATCTAGAACCTAAAAATATTTAGCCCAGAAAATTTAGGTTTTAGCTCAGAAACAACTTTTCTGTTTCAACCCTTTTAGCCTAAAATTTTAACTAGAGATTATCAAAGAATGAATTAAAGCTTTTTTTTTTTTTTTACACTGTGTTTTAGCCTATGATTGGAGTGGGTTTTAAAGTGCTGTTTCTACACTGTGTTTTACCGTTCATCAACTTTTGCAGATTATGACATAGTTATAATTCCTGGTTAAGAGTGTTATACCCTTTGCAGATTATGACATAGTCATTTGCAGGTTAAGAGGTTAAGGGTCTTGTTCCCGCCTCCCGAGAAGGACTAGGATGTTTAGTTTAAAACTTTGGAAGATGGAATTACAGGAAAGGAAATCTTGGAACAAGACCCTGTACTGTACCAGTGTATTGCTGCACGTATTCTGTTATCAACCTTAATTCTATAAGTTCAACTTCAATGGTGGACTAAACGCTAAATTACCTTTCAAAATTTCCCCTCAAGCCCACTCTAAACCAAGAGAAAATTTTGGGCTAAATGCTAAATGCTAAACCAATGCCAAATTCCTCTCAAAATTTAGTCCAGAAATCGAAGTGGACTCTACCCAATATTTATCGGAATTTAAATTTTTTAGATTAAAATATTCATAAAATTAATTTACGATAGTCTACATATTTATTTTTTTTAAAATAAATTAAATTGACAAAAAGAATAGCCTAAGTTCATTCTTTAATAATTTCGGGCTAAAATTTTAAGCTAGAACGGTTGGAGCAGAAAAGCTGTTTCTGGACTAAAAGCTAAATTTTTCGTACTAAAAAATTTGGTTTTTAGCCTATCCATTAGAAATGATCTAAGTGAAAAAAAGGGAGCTTGATATGCTAACAATTTTGATCTGTAGATATTAAAATAAATTGCATCCAACTATTAAATTCCGTCGTATATATTACACATAGATGCACACTAGAATTTTCGTTTTCGATATAGCATTTCCTTGGGACTGCTGCGGCGCCCATTTAATTTAAGGCCACCTCCTGTCTCTCTCATTGCAGGTGTATGTAAATACTCATAGCAGCAGATGAAAGGCAGAGGACTCTTTAGGAACATCAAAGCAATCAAAAGATTATAGGGTTCTGTGGGAAAATTTTGCTTCAAAATTTTGCTGTAAGACCATCTCTAACTATTAAGTTAAAATCTAAAATTTTTAGTCCAAAAAATTTAGGTTTTTTAGGTTTTAACCCAGAAACAGTTTTTCTGCTCCAATCATTCTGGTCTAAATTTTTTAGTCCGAGATTATTAAACAATAAATTTAAGCTAATTTTTTTCTTTTAAAGTAATTTAAAAAAAATAATTATGTACACTATAATAATTTAATTTTATGAACATTTTAACCTAAAAATATTTAAATTCCGATAAATAATGAAAAATCACTAAATTTGGATAAATTTTGAGTTAAATAATTTTTTTAATTTTTTTAGCATTTTTTAAATTTTTTTAGCCTTTGGATTTAAATTTGGGCCGTTAGATTTTTTTTACCGTTATATTTGATTATATTCGATCTTAGCCGTTGGATGCAATAAATCCTAGGAGATATGTCCATGTGGGTGGGATTCCGTTGGTGGTGCCCACACCATTTTCTGGGCTAAATCTTGAGGGGAATTTGGCTTTTGTTTGACTTTTAACTTTTAGTCCACATATTTAGCATGGGTTAGGTTGGATTTAGAGGGAGAATAAAACCTAAAATATAGCATTTAGTCCAGTGTTGAGTTTGGTCTAACTGTGAAATTATAGCCTTGATCACGAGGTCCAAATCTCCTTATATATCTGGAGGTTTGAACCCTTTTTTCAACATCAGTTTACTTTCTACACTCGAGTAGCTTAGACAATGTTTTCTAATGATATTCAATGAGATTATAAGTATTTAGAAAAATGGATACCTTTTTAATTCTCTCTTAAAACCCTAAGATCAACTCCAATGGTGGGCTAAAAGTCAAATTACCCTCCAAAATTTTCCCCCAAACCCACTCCAACCCAAGTGGAAATTTTGAGCTAAATGCTAAATGCTAAACTAATGCCAAATTTCCCCCGAAATTTAGCCCAGAAATCGGGGTGGAATCTATCCAATATTTATCGGAATTTAAATTTTTATAGATTAAAATGTTCATAAAATTAATTTACGATAGTCTACATATTTTTTTTTTTAAATTTAATTTAACAAAAAAAAAAAACCTATGTTTATTCTTTAATAATCTCGGGCTAAAATTTTAGGGTAGAACGGTTGGAGTAGAAAAACTGTTTTTAAACTAAAAGCTAAATTTTTCATGCTAAAAAATTTGACTTTTAACCCAACCATTAGAGATGGTCTAATGTCTTGACTCTCTGGACCATCCTGAATGAGTAGAATGAGGAGAGGTGAAAATATTCAGCAATTCAGTCAGCTGGTCAAGTCGCTCTCACAAAGGGTGGGTCCTTGTATATTGGAAGTAATGATTATGCATAGTGGGGACTTATTTCATTGTGAGTGTACCTCAAGATCCAGTTAATTAGGCAGCTATATCTAAGGTTTTTTCCAAAGTGAGACCTCGTGGACGATAACTTACCTATAGCTGGAAATCTTGAATGCATTGTGACCGTATCTCAACCAATTAAACATTGTAACGTGAGAAAGTTAAAATACATTATAATATTTGATTAGTTTGTGATATTGTCACAACCAAATCCTAATTTATAGGTAAGCTATTCACCTCAGGTATGAACGGGGGTGGCCGCATAGTTTGAAAAGCAGTCTTTCTCTGTACAATGTAAGCTTTTGATGAAGGCTCTTCAGTCTTCCCTTTTAAGTTCCCTGACCTTGTAATGCTAAAAGTAGACATCTCTTTGTACAACTGGAAAAGTTCAAAGATTATGTAAAACAGAGCTTCTGCAGCAAATTTAAATGTCTGTGACTGTCAAGCATTGCTGCCACATGGAAAATAAAGCCTTGGGCGCGGCATCACTGCATGATATGGATGCTGACATGATCTGGAGGATGTTATTCCCGTTGCTATTAAATGCAAAAACTGCAATTTGAGGACCCTACAAGTTCATCCGAATGAGCTGTGATTTTGGGACATGTTTCATGACCTCACTAATCACACCCTGCAAGTTCGTCTGAATGAGCTGTGATTTTGGGATATGTTTCATGACCTCACTAATCACAGCATGGCAACTAATGTCAAGAGAAACTTACATAGACCGAAACGCATTGTGATTGTATAAAATTCAAATATAAGGTATTATGTATTTTAATTTTTTTTACATAGCAGATTTCATTGATTTGGATATGCTCAAATGACATTTCTGCTTTTTTTTTTTTTGGTGAACATTTCTGTTTGACAATGTGATTAGTTCCATCACATTGATATTATTGTGACATTGAGGTCCGTTTCATTGATATGTGTTGCTCAGCAGAAAGATCAATGTGTGCAACGAGAAATTATTTGTAAGATGAGTTTGCCAGGTAGAAATACTAACCATTTTTTTTTTTTTTTTTTTTTGTGTTTTTGTTGGGGGGGAGGGGTTGGGGTGGTGGGGGGCCGCTAAAATATATAGTAACCAAATTGCGTCTAATGTTTACAAGTTATAATCAGAATGTGGCTACTGCCTAGTCTGGCTCCATGATAACATCATGAAACTGACACATTAGCTAAAGTTTACCATGGGCCATTGATGTTGGAAAAACTAAGGAGTCTCGAGGAGACGGGGATAAAACTTGAGAATCACTCAACAAGGGGCAATGAATTCGCTTTACATTGATCATGGATTTGCTCAACACGAACCAGCCTAACCCGACCTCTTCTTAGATTAATTATAATTCACTCAATTGACTAATTTATTAGTACATAAGGATCCCTTTAAATAGGGACATTAGAATACATCATAAGATAAAATTTAATACTAAAGGTTACAGTTTCTAAACATCTAATTAGAAGGGACAAGGATTCTCTTTTTTTTCTTTCCCTCCCTTTTCCTTCCCTTCTATTTGAAGGCTCGTGATTTCATCTTGTACGGAGAGAAAGAAGGAAAAAATTACTGTGAGAGGAGGGGAGGGAGGGGAGGGGAAAAGAGAGGGGAGATAATCCCCTTCCAATCTCTCACTCTCCCGAAGTCGGAATCTCCGTTCCGAATACAAATACATGAGCAATAGTTTTTCACTCCTAGTTACATTAACATTTTCATGACATTTATGCATATACTGCAATTAAACAACTAAGCATATATATGCAAATTACAAAACTTCCCAGTTTTGTAAACGAAATTAGAGACCAAAAACAATGTAAAAAGAAACTCAGAGAATAAAAAGGGTCGATGCCAAATTATTTCTTTTCTCTAAATACTCTTTTTCCTTTTTTTCGGCTGTAAAAAAAGGAACATTCGCATGAAAAAGTAAAAGAGAAGTAAAAATGGGGTTCTCTATTTCTGTTTTCTTGTTTCATTTGAATTGGTTTCTTGACCTGAAAATCTCATAAATGGAGTTCTGATGGCTTCACAATATCCTTCAAAAACACCAGCATCCCTACAAAAAAAGGAGAAGAAAAAAATAAAAATAAATAAGCAGACAAATAAATACATATAAAACCAAGTGTGAAACAGTATAAGCGCGATAAAAAAGCAGAGAGGCAAGCCAATCACAAAAACGAAACAAGAAGCTTAAGCAACTCACCCCAAAACAAACTTTATCGTGTCTTGCAGTAGGAGCATCCGTTAGGGTTGAAAGTCTGGCAAGCATTTCTCGTTCAGTGAAGATTTTACCTTGAGAGCTCAGGAACACGGTACGCCGGACCGGAGGAGACCACAGTCCGCTCTGCTCGTAATCAAAGTCGAACTCCGCGGCATCAAAGAACTTCTGAAGAAGTCGATCAGAAGTGGATTTTGGGACCAACTGCACAGTTGGAGAAGTGGGAGGAGGACAAGTGTCAGGCAAACCAGGTGAAGAATAAGAAGAAGAAGGGGAAGAGAGCTCAGACTCAGTCCCAGAAGGCATTTGGACGAATTGGAATCGGGAATAATGGAGCTGAAAAGATAAGGGAAAGCAAAACCTGACAAAACTAATGTGTGTGTATAAAGGGCATGTCAGAGGTGTGATAAGGACGTGTATGGCTGTATGCAATCATAGGGGGACGTCGTGGCTGCTATATATAATACATGATTCTTATGTGTTTCAATATCTGGTAGCGCACTCTTTGTTTTTCAAGCTAAAAAGTCTCTGGAACTTTGAAAAGGTTCACTTTGGAGAGATGCTAGACTAGAGGAGGTCTATAAAAATTGATTCTATAGTTGATATCACAAGGTGTTTATACATATAGGGTTCGTTTGGAAATAATTATGTAGGAAGCTGTTGTAGAACATATGGCGGGGGTAGAGTAGATCGAACAATAGCTTGACAGATGTCAAACATCAAAGTATTCATAGTTTACATATTCGTTTTGGAGTTTCGATGGGAACCCATACATAATATACTGTTTTAAAGAGAACTGTGTGATCACAAGTCAAATAATTTTAAGCTTTCTCATATTTTTTTCGTTGATTGTCACGTTGCGTTAGAAACGCTACTACTCCTAAACTCTTTTAAGTCAAATAGTGTTAAAAGTGTTTTTGACTATAAAAAACATTCTTAGGTATTGTAGAGCATATTCAAACATGCCTATTAATACCACATCAACAACCTAAATTTAAATCCGTGCAAATGGACATGGTGGCACACATAAATCATTTGTGGGTCTACTTCATGGAACGCCCAACTAATTTCTCAACGCTTGTATAATTCATGGTTGGTGTGAAAGGTTTGTCTTGTTGGTGAGAAAAGATCCTAAATTATATTGTTGGTGCAATATTAACCACATTGTCTTGACTTTTAAGGTTTTGAAAGACAGAAGAATGTAATTTGGTCATGTCTAGATTGCGATGATGCCTAGAATACTTTTACCGTACATTAGTTACACCAATGTGCTTTTACTATGCATCTGATTTCAAATTTCTCTCTCACAATTTAGATCAAGATCAGTTCACAATGTTATAAAATCAATTGCTGTATTTATCAAATATAACAAAAAATTAACCTTTAATTTTAAAAATGTCACTTTTTATAAAATCTTTCAAATATATCCAAAATTCCACCTAAATAGACACAAATATTCTCAAATTTAACAAGAAAATAAATTAAGGGCTTTTTAGCCAAAATGATTCGTAACATTGACATAACTCCTTAATCTGATCCTTAATAATTAATGATAATCAATAGTAGTGTTCTTGAATTTAGCTATCGTGAATCATTTTAATCTTTCTTTGAATTTGTCCATCGTGATCATTTTAGTTTTTTCGTGAAAAATTTGTCAATTGCTTTGTTAGTGTGATGAAGTGGCACCACATGGGTCTCACAAATACAATCATATAACGACATGTGGATTAACTTTAAAAACTATTTTTATATTTAAAACTAAAAAATGATATTAGTAAGAAAAAAGGCGTTGAAGGCATGATTGAAATTCTGCTGCTCCCACTTGCAGTAACCGCGACGACGCTCAATGTTGGTGATGAGGGGGTCCAAGGGGATAGGGTTGTGGTGGTGGAGTTTAGAAGCGAAGGTGAAGTTGGACTGAAGCTTGAGGCGACAATAGCTAAAAAGCCTTTAATTTATTTAATTGTTAAAGTTGAGGGTATTTGTGTCTATTCAAATGAAATTTTATATATATTTGAACGTTTTTATAAAAAAAATGATATTTTTGAAATTAAAAGTTAATTTTTAACTATATTTGATAAATACTCATAAAATAGATTAATTTCATTTATTGGATAATAACGTTGACCAATTAGAAACTTAACCAACACAGAGAAAAACGTTTAGAAAATTAAAAAAAAAAAAAAAAAAAAAACTTGCCCAGTAGGGGATCCATTTTAAATAAAATAAATACATTCATAATATCTCACTCCACGCCAATCTGCTACATTCCATCCTGCATTCTTGCTGCACTAGATTATTATCATTCATTAAGATTTCATGACCCCACCTTTTCATAACCTTATTCCTAATCAGCTTTTGAAAGCCCAATTAGCTACAAAGATCAGAAGAAATTAGAAGGTACAAAATGATGTTCAATTATCGTTAAAGATGGATTTAAACTATATCATCAATACGTTAGTGTAGAAAAGATCTTTTATTAAAAATAAAACAAAAAATATCTGAACATCCCAAAATATAAAAAACACCCTCAAGCTAGACTTCTCAACCGTAACCCGAATTGATCGAGCAAGGACATAAACGTCATTTCATGTTCCACATTCTCTTTGCAGACAGCAGTCTTGCACCGGTCTGACACGCCTCTGAAAAGCCGAAAGATCGAAGAAAGCAAAGGAAGCAAAATACACCGAAACAAACAAAAAAACGAAGATCTCAGACAGCGAAAGCAAATCAACGGGAGAGATCTGAAGAACAAGATCGCCACCTTCTTCTTAGAAGCGAAAGAAACTTCAAACTTTTTTCTTCGGGGTCTCAGTAGTAATGGCTGGGTACAGAGCTGAGGACGACTACGACTACCTTTTCAAGGTGGTGCTGATCGGCGACTCCGGCGTCGGCAAGTCCAACTTGCTGTCGAGGTTCACCAGGAACGAGTTCAGCCTCGAGTCTAAGTCCACCATCGGAGTCGAGTTCGCCACCCGCAGCTTGGATGTCGACGGCAAAGTCATCAAGGCCCAGATTTGGGACACTGCTGGCCAAGAAAGGTTGGTTGGCTTTCTTGCTTCTCTTTTCTGTGATCTGGGTTTTTCTTATTTTCTGGAGTTTCTGTGTGGGATTGAAGCTTTCGGTTGGTGATTATAAGATATGAAATGGGTCTGGGTTTCTTGGGGTTTTGGTGATGAAAAATTTAAGCTTTTGTGCAATTTGGTTGGTGCCTGGATTTGGTGGTTTAATTGGGTTTGTTGTGGTAGATCTGAAAATGCTTGAGTCAAGTCAAAGAATATATGCTCAGAATTTTCTGGGTTTCTTTTTGTTTTCGTAGCAATCTAAGTTATAACAGAGCAAGCATTGACTCATTGTGCATTGTGCAAATGAAATTTCCGCATTAACATTTTTATTGTTGTTGTGCATATTCTGCCTTTCTTCTGCAATTCATATTAACTTTTATATATGACTTTTGAGTTAGAAATGAAATGAATGTGCAAGCTGTGTTTATAGATCTCTGTAGTTTATGCTTTCCGGTTGGTGTGAAAAGGGTAATTGGAAATTCGTGGTTGCTTGTTGCTATGTGTAACGTCAATAATCCATCAGATAGAATGCTTAAGTAGTTGATTGGCATTACTATTAGAAAAAAAAGGTACTTAATCTCAGTGGGATGCCGCTGATTGTACAGTGATGAAATTCTAGTTGTTAGATACCATTACTTAGTGAAGCTTTGTTAATGGCCTGTTTGGGCTTGAAAATATGTGGTACTAGTCAAACCAACCTTATCAGTTTCAAAGTCAATCTGGAGATTCCAGGTACTGTGTTGGTAGATATTGGTGGAGATCGTTCATTAAATCCGCTTTCAAGTTTTCATCTGGGCCTTAAATTCAATATGGTGTCTCCCCCCTGAGTATTCTTATAGTTTATGGATGCAGCTACTGTCTTTCGTTAGAATAAGGGCAAATTGTTTAACCTTAGTAGGACATGATCATTTTATCTGCGCTACTGTAGAATTATCAAGGAAATTGTATTTCTTATTGCTGATCCATGTACATACTGAGATTGACAAATTGAACTGCTTTTTTCAAAGTGCAGAGTTTGAACTTTGACATGGTTTCAATAGAAATTGGTGAGTTAAATGTGACATTTAGGTAATTCAATTAAGTTAAGTTTTAATATTGTGCTTTCTTGAATGATTTAGTGGTGGGAAGTGCTCATGAAATGCAAGTGTGCGCTATTTTTTTCTGTATAGTTGAGCATGAAATGCATGTGATTTACCTATGATTCAAAATGTGTCTTTATATTCTAATGACTTTCTATGAGCAAGATAGCAACTTTTTGCATTTGGAGAAGTAAAGCCTTTCTAATTTATTACCATTTAAACAAGTACTACCTTCGGAAATCCAAATTCACCATTGTCATCTGTGTTTCAACTTGATTCACATGCCTTTTCACTTTGAACAGGGTATTCTGCATAACTGTTTATTGTGCCACTGGCATGCTTTCTCTTCTATTAACGGTTCAGATTCAAATTTGTGCATATTTAATAATGGATAATAGTTTGAGCACCAAAGAAACAGCTGATGAGGATTATCTACTTCCCTTTATTGTTTTGGCGAAGTTGTATGAGTTGGGAGACATGTCGATTAGCCTGGAATTCAAATCCCATTATGTTTTCTAGAATGAGAGGGGTGCGGTGTACACCAAAACAAAACTTCTAAAGTATATGTTTAGTGCTTCATGTTATGTCAATATAGTTGTCCTGGACTAACCCTTCTCTTGTAAAATACAGTAAAAATGAAGCCATCCTCTTAGCAACACTGAGGTTTTTGATTAACACCAAATAAAAGGATTGATTGAACTATTTTCTTTGAATCCCATGTTCGATGTTGACACAGGAGTAAGGGTAGACTAAATAGTCCAACCTACCCTCCATGTCCAACTACAATTAAACTTTTTAAACCATTGAGGATGTGATAACAACTCTCCTCACTATGTTATTCGACATGCACAAATTTTCTTCTCAAACATATTGCAAAGCCACCATACGACTTCAGGTCCATATCTGACACTAAGATACCCCAAGCCACCCGCCTCAACCCACCCCGTCAATAACAACATTTGTTGTCTGTGTACTGAAACTGAAGGTACCATTGTGTATAGAAAAATGGTGAATTTTTGGCTCTATAAAGATGGGTTATGTATGGTTGTATCATAATCTTATTAAATACTCGATGTATAATTTGAGAGCATTTCTTTTTTGTGATGATGTCGACACTTGTTCTGGATCACCTTCATGTACTGTAATGTGGAACTTCAATATGCTATCTTTTGATAGTTTATTTATACTTTGTTTCTTTCTAGCAATGCTGTATATGGGATTTTGAATATGCTATTGGTAGTTTGATGTCCTAATTGTGTTGGGGTTTCATATTGTTATTGTTATAATCACTACTAATTG